ACAGGATGATCAATATGAGGAAGGGGGAAATCTTGAACAGTCACTGAAGTATTATGGATCAAAGCTCTAGTTACAGCAGACCGAGTTTTCCAAGCCCCATTTCTGAGAAACAAGTGGGCATTTCTTAGTATTGTTTTCCTGAAGCCAGATTAAAAAAAAAGAAAAAAAAAGCAGCTTCATTTCTAGTCAATGACTTGTGTTGAGGATGATCAATATGAGGAAGGGGGAAATCTTGAACAGTCACTGAAGTATTATGGATCAAAGCTCTAGTTACAGCAGACCGAGTTTTCCAAGCCCCATTTCTGAGAAACAAGTGGGCATTTCTTAGTATTGTTTTCCTGAAGCCAGATTAAAAAAAAAGAAAAAAAAAGCAGCTTCATTTCTAGTCAATGACTTGTGTTGTGCATCAGCAGTGATATGTAAAGAAACATGGTCAAACTGGTTTGGTTTGGTTTTTTGTTTTTTTTAAATGGACCAAGTGCAAAAAAGTTCCTGTTTCTGACAGAGCCCCTTAAAGAGAATCTCTTGTTAAAATACTTTAAAAAGCAAATGGCCAAGTTTTTCTGCTCCCTTGTTAAACGTTTAGGGCTCTTTTCAGCAGAGGAAAGACCAATGCTGCAAACATAAAGGTAATTTGATAAACCCAACGAGTTACATGATAAAATGTTTGCAAGATTGGGGCCTAATTGACTATACAGAGGAAAACCTCCTTGGAAGTGACCATACATAAAAAGCTGACAGAGAAAAGGCAATTTGTTTCAAATAGCCATAGGTTCTGATGCATGAAGAGACCCCTGTGTTTATCACGTCCATATGACTTCCTCCAAATAATTCCTAGAGGAGACCTTCTAGAAAGACATCCAGTCTTCACTGAAGAAAAGTTATCCGTGCTGGAGAATGCCCCACAACCCTTGGTAAACTGTTCCGATGGTTAATTACTCGCACTGTTAAAAATGTACATCATCTTTCCAGCCTGGATTTGTTTCGCTTCAATTTCCAGTCCTTGGATCCTGCTAGATGGAAGAGCGCCTGTCGATACCTTATGGACTGTCCTTAAGCCAGTCATTCCTTAACCTTCTCTTTGTCAAGCAAAGTAGATTGAGCTTCAGGAGTCTATGACTATACGACCCTTGGAGCTCTCTCATGTCTGGACCCTTTCTAATGTATCAACATCCTTCTTGAATTATGGGCACCAGAGCAGCACCTAGCATTGCAGCAGAATGCAACACTGCAGCAGGTGTTTAAGTCTCGGCTTGACAAAGCCCTGGCTGGGTTGATTTAGTTGGGATTGGTCCTGCCTTGGGCAGGGGGCTGGACTTGACCTTCAGAGGTCTCTTCCAGCTCTAGGATTCAGAAGTCGCACTGGTGTCAAAAGCAAAGGTAACAGAACCTCTCTGCTCCTCCTGGGAATGCCCTGGTGTCTGCATCCCAGGATCACATTAATAGAGCCCTGCAAATCTGCAGATATCTGCTTTATATCCACAGGCATCTACAACCGTGGGGGTCAATGAGAGTATCTGGGGTTCATTTTTGCAGATGTGAATGCAAATTTTGTATCCATGCAGGGCTCTTCCTATTAGCCCTTTTGGCCACCGCAGGTCACACCGGGAACTCATATCAAGCAGATTCTGGACCGCAATCCCCAACTTTGCTGCTAACATTTTGGTGATAGTGATCTCCGGTGTTAGCTGTAATAATACCAGATACTAAGTTTCAGGCAAAAAAAATATGGTTTGCCAAGTTGAGGGTGACCCTTTTAAACTTCTCGTTTGCAAACAGCCCTCTAGGACTTATCCACTAGCAGCAAGTAGCATGATTAATCCTGTGTTTACAGACCAACTCTGGCATTGAAAGGTTGTTACTCATCCACATAAGTCACTCAAGCATTCACCCTGCCCTGTGCTCAGACCCCAGCCATCACATCTCTTGCACCAGACAGCAGAATGCACAGAGCTCTCTTGGGCAGATTGTTTCAGCGGGTGATTTAGGGTGAGGAACATCAGCAGGAGCAACCGGGGTGGTCCGTAAAGTGCCTCCCCACATCCCTCCATCAACCCACCTGCCTGAAAGCTCGTTACCGACGACAGAGACTGGCTGCAAGTGGCACTGCGCCCACTCACGCTACCTACCCACAGCCTCCCCCGTGCGGGACCCTGGACCCATGTGGCTCACCTTGGTGTCATCTGGATCCCCCAGCAGTTCCTGTTCAACCTCATGCAGGTCCTCCGCAGGGTCATAGCTGTACATCGGTAGCAGGTGGTGACGTAGCCTGTCAAACCTGACGCGCAGAGACAGGAGACTGTGAGGCTGGTCTGGGAACCCGCAGCCCCGCACCAAACCAAAGGGCGACACTGACCATAGGCCCACACGGTCAGCAGAAGGGAGGGCTGAAATTCCCAGAGCCACCTAGGAGATCTAGACATTTGTTTGAAAATCTCATCACAGGTCTAATCCCAGGGGCAAAGCTAGCACTCCTTCCTCATTCAAAGCTACCATCTGGCTGTTGCCTTGTGCTTTCCCCCATGTCTGTGTTCGATTCACCCCGTCTACTCTTACACAGGGTCGAAAGCTCCTTGGGCAACTGGAGCACCTAGGACAGCGGGACAGAGCACTAGGATAAACGGAAGGGCTAACTATTGTTATAGTGATGTCAATGGGAGTTTGGCTAGGGAAATAGTGCAACATTTAAGTCCCTCTCTTCTCCCACCAGAGGTCCCAGCCACACTCAAAGGATCGGGCATCACAGAGCCCAGGATCCAAGTTAGGTGAAAGATATTCATTAGGACAAGATGCAATGGGCTTAAACTGCAGCAAGGGAGGATTAGGTTGGACATTGGGAAAAACTTCCTAACTAGCAGGGTGGTTAAACACTGGAATAAATTGCCTAGGAAGGTTGTGGAATCCCCATCACTGGAGATATTTAAAAGCAGATTAGAGACATCCGTCAGGGATGGTCCAGATGGTGCTTGGTCCTGCCGTGAGGGCAGGGGACTGGACTCAATGACCTCTCGCGGTTCCTTCCAGTTCTAGTGTGCTATGAGTCTATGATTGCCCCAGAAGGTGGACAGAGAACATGTGTGTGTGGGGGGGAGGGGGGGAGGAGACAGACACACAAGGTCCCTTTCGTCTCCCTGTGGAAAGGGCCGATGAGGGGCAATGAGTGCAGGTGAATCAGGAAAACCAAGGGGACGGAGGTTCAATCTCACTGCACCCCCGGGCATGTCCAGCTTGTGGCAAGCTGGGGAGTAAACGGAGCCTGGCAGGTTTGGAATCGGGGCAATGCCGGACTTTCAGCGGACGGCAGCAAGGCCAAGAGGCCCTCGCTCTGCTAGAGCTGGGGAAAGAGGCAAGTTTCCGAGCGCTTGCGCAAGCAGAGGCCGACCTAGCTACGCCAGCCCGATGCCTCGGGCAGCTGCTGGGGAAGAAGGCTCTGCCATGAGGCACAGGGGAAGAGAGGGGCAGAGCGGCCAGCTGGGATCAGCATCGCAGCGTCTGGACGGAGGGCACGGCTGCAGGCAGCCAGTGGCCCTCAGAGGCACCAGGAGGCAGAGGCAGAAGCGGGTGACAATGGCCTGATTTCGCCCTCCCCACATCTGAGCTTTGCATCAGTCTGGCCCTGCTGACATTGCGCATGAGGAAGACACTCACGGCTGCACCAGGCCTGGTTTAAATCCCTTCTAAGCACACACACCCCTTCCTTTCGCACGCACAACCACCAGTCTGGATGAGGGGAAAGGCCCAGAACATAAAGGGACCAAGGGACTGCAGCCAGTGAGTTCTTCCCTGGACACTCAAAGGCCCGTGCACACCTGTCTCTGCTTTGCGACCGTCAGCACTGCAGACGCTGTAGGACCAGTGCTTTTTTTGTAAGAAAAAAGGTGCCGGTACTCTGGGGCAAACTTGTTGAGGAGAAAAAACAAAAAAACAACACCCCACACAAACTGCTGGGGGCCAAAACGTGGTCATAGCCCCTGTAACAGCCACAGCGCCACTCTGGAAGCCAGAAAACAACAACAAAAACACTCATTCTGTGCGTCCCAAGCAGGCTTCTGTCAGTAGCTGAGCCGCCCCAGGAAAACAGGTGCCGGTACGTGCAGGGGGCAATCCCATTCCTTTTCTGTGGGCTGGTGAAATAGGTGACGGTACGCAGTTCCGGGCAGTACCATCACAAAAAAGCACAGTGTAGGACCATCGCCCTGTTCTCCAGTTAAAGCAAACCCAGACGTCCCCACCCCCTCTTACCTCCTCTTCTTCTGAATGTACATCATCTGCAAAGGGGGAAAAAGCACTCCGTGAGCAGGAACACAGCCCAGTCACATGTAAAGTGAGACGCGTGCTAAGGAGAGGGGCTGGCCCCCATTCACAGAGCCGGATGGTGGCAGCGCTGGCTTTCCCGCACAACACAACATCCCCTGTCAACGGGCCACGGCCTCTGGCCTGAGGTCGCCAGGCACCTGCAGCCAGATTTTCAGGACATGCTGGAGGCAGAGCTCTTAGGAGACGCTGGCACCAGATGTTAGCAGGGAGCTGGCCACCTGGGAAAAGCCTGTTGCAACGAAGCTCAGCCCATTCCTGCCATCAATGTCCTGGCAGGGCAGGGGGAGGCTTCGCGCTGCTCGCAGAGTGGTGGCAGAGCGGAGAAGGCTTCACGCACTCCCCCGCCCGCAGGCCCTAATCGGCCTGGGGACAGCAGAGCAGCAGGGCCTCCACGGGCCGGATCCGGCTCTTGGGGGCCCTTTGGCCCACCCCGCTCCAGCCACAGCACAGGCAGCAGCAACTCAAGCTCACCACACACTAGTGTAGGTCAGCCCCAACCTGGAGAGGCCACATCCAAGGGCAAGAGGGGCCTATGGTCATTACTGGAGCCCCCAACAAGAGGCCATCACTTCCGTAGTGTGAGCCACACTGGGACAGCGGCCACAGAGGCAGGTCTCCATTTTGATCAATGCCCAGACTTGAACGAGCAACCTAGAAGCGAGAAAAGGCTTGATCCCCACACACAGAACCGAGCTGTCCAATCCCCACTCCTCTCCGGGATGGCATCTATACACTCTAGGGGCCGGCTGAACTCCCCAAACAAAAGCAACTCTCTTACCACGGCCACGACGATGCCGACGACGGTGATGAGGAAGAAGGGCACCAGGACATACCCGACCAAGGAGTCGCTGGAGGTCCTGGCGGAGCTGGGAGTGGTCGTGTTACTCATTGCATAGGAAGCAACTGGTCGAGGGGAGACAGGCGGGCGGCTCGGATCTTCATCGAGAAGAGAACCTCTCGGCCGACCCTCTCAGCTGTAAACAGAACAAGAGCTTGGATTTTAAGCTCCCCGTTCCAGATGCAAATCGGTTTCTCCCATTCAGTTGCCAAATTCCAGGCAGGAGGGGAAGGGACGCCCCACACCGGCACCACAGGGTGTGATGTGAGTCCGTCACAGACTGACCACGACATCGGGTTCCACAGCAGGCCAGCAAAGGACACAAATTCAGGGCTTTGGTATGTAGCCTAGCAGGTTGCGTGGGCCCCACCCAATGCCCATTAGGGACAAGGGGAGGAGTAACAGGTGATGGCTCCTTCCTGTTTAAACCTACAAATGGGCAAGGGGGCTACTTACAAATGCTCCCTAGGCTATACAGGGAAACAGCCCATTGAAAAACAGGCCTGCGCCATCTATTAGGCCAGGGTTTCCCAACCGACGGGTCACGACCCCTCTATGGGTCGCCATTACATTTCAAAAGGGTCGCCAAGGGTCTCCCCAGGTGGCTCTGTCCTCCCTCCTCCCCCCATTTTTGAATTGCCTTGGGTCACCAAGTCTTCCTGGATTGTCAGAGTCGGTCCCCGTCTGGGAAAGGTTGGGAACCGCTGTATTAGGCAATTGCTGCGCTCCGAGAGCACGGCCCAGCCACAGACCTCACTAACTGCTGGTAGACAGGGAAAACCAGAGGCAGAAAAACCAAGGGGGAGGAAGTAATCTGCCCACATCTGAGTGATAGCCTGGGGCAAATTTGGGCCAATCACCTCTCCGTTTCCCTCCCAGTTAAAATGGGGGTGATGTGCCTCCCTTCACGCCAGACATCCTGGAAACACCTGCGAGGCGCTGAGACAAAAGGAACTAGAGAAGGACACAGCATCCTGCAGGGCTAGGTAGGGATGTGAAAGGTTAACCGGTGAGCATCACCCTTACTCTGGAGCTGCTCCAGCGGGGACCGGCAACTGGGAGCCAGCAGCAGCCCCAGCCCTCACATGGGGGCCTGGAGCCAGCAGCCAGCCCCAGTGCGAGGCTGGGAGCGGGAGCCCTGCAGGCTGCTCCAGCCTGGCTGAAGCGGCCCCCCACCCAGATCCTGCTCAATGGGTTAGGTTAACCTATCATTTAACCCCTTAACTCAGTGGTTCCCAACCACCAGGCGAACCCCTGTCTGCTGGGCCGTGGCACATTGCCAGGCTGCGCCCCCATCTTTTATTTAGCTCCGCCCACTGAGGTTCCCAGGAAATTCCCTTCCATCCACTTCCCCATGCAGCAGCAGAGTGAGTGGTGCAGCTGGGAGCTGAGTGTGCTGTGGCCGGAGTCCGGGCTGTGGGGCTTGAAAGGGAATCCTCTGAACTGTCATTCATGTTAAAATTCGACACTTTCCAACAAGGACTTAGTTCAAATGTTTGTTATCTCACCCATTACCAAGATAGTTTCCCCAATTATCACCTCTAATACCATTAACTCACAAACATCCCACTCTCCCTACCTCTAATATCATCAATTCACAGACACTTACCTTCCTTCCTCCCCCTCCCCCACCCCGCATCTCCCTTCTGTTCTGCAATGTGATTTGTCCTTTTCATATTTGTTCATTTTTTTAATTGTATCCTTTGGTATATATGGTTGTGACTATTTTCTTCCACTATTTGATCTGAGGAAGTGGGTCTGGCCCACGAAAGCTCATCATCTAATAAACCATCTTGTTAGTCTTTAAAGTGCTACATTGTCCTGCATTTTGCTTCAGCTACCCCAGACTAACACGGCTACATTTCTATCACTATTGAGTTCCCTATATGGCTACTGACTCCTGCATGACCTTGGGCAAGTCACCTTCTTAGTGCCTCAGTTTCTCACCTGTAAGATGGGGATGATAATGCTTTGTTTCTCCTCCCTTCATCTGTCTCCTCCATTTACACTGTAAGCACCATTCCTCACTATGTGCATGTACAGCTCCTAGCGCACCAGCGCCCTGATCTCAACTGGAACTCTAGGCATTAGCCTGACACCAATAACTATGCAAGGCTCAAGAAAATGCCAATGCATCTTCATGGCCTCACTGCTCTCACAGAAACACCCACAAGAGGGCACCATTGCAGAGAGGGCTTACAGCCCCTAGCACTGTGAACCCTAGATGCAGTAGCAATACAAATAATTCATACTAATAATGCATCAGTTGGGGGGGATGTAAAAAACTGCAGCTTTGTCTCAAATCCCTCTTCTGTGACGCTGGTGCAGAGACCTCCCCAGACTACTTAATCCACGAAAGAAACTCTGCCATCTCCGAGCACGAGTTTGCAATATGCAGCACATACAAAGACGCCCTTGAGATGAATAAAGACACACACTGGAATTGACAGCAGAGGCCAGATCTTGGCTCGGGAGCAGATCCCTGAGCCCTCTGCAGTCAGGAAATGCCTGGAGGCCCTTAAGCACCGGACAGCCATGCGGATACATCTCAGAAGAGCACAATGGCCCTTTATCCACTACAGGGAATTACCCAATGGCCAGCAGGAGCAGGCCTCATTCCAGGCCCCATCACTGTTTATCATTTGTATTACTGCAGCACCTCGTGATGGCCATGCTCCCCTCTATGTAAGGTGCCATACAAAAAACATGGTGCCTGACCCAAAGAGCTTCCAATCCACCATCTGGTCTCTCCACCCTTGAAGGGATGCCCACAGTCAGTCGAGAGCCAGATTCGGGGGAAAGGAGCAGAACAGTCCTAAAAAATATTGTTGTGCTTGGATGCAAACATTCCTCTCCAGCAGCTCAAACCCTACAGTGCTAATCTAGGGCAGTAGCGCGCAACCTTTTTTCATTCGCGACCCCTGCACTGCGGGGGTCGCCAACGGCTGGGCCCAGCTCCTAGCTAGCCAGATCAAAGTGCCACGTGCAGCTGGGCCCAGCCCCTGGCCAGCTGGATCAAAGTGCCACGACCCGCCAGGAAAACAGCTGCAACCCCCTTGGGGGTCGTGACCCACAGATTGGGCACCACTGATCTACGGCATGGTATCCTGGTATACACGATTTATTTATCCCTGCTGCAGCATAGGGGGATGGAACACGTCCTTCCGTCCCTACAGTTCTGTGGTTCTGTATTACCCACACAGAGCACAAATGGCTTACAAACCTGGAAGGCTTATTTCAGATTTGGGGGAGAGGGGGAGGAGAAGCCCATCAAAGAAAGAACAAATATAAAGTCTGCATGAGGGGCAGCATTCAGTCTAGGGATGTTAAAGAGCTATTCATTAGGCAACCATGTAACCACTGAAAATCTTAGTGGTTACACTAAGCTACAAACTCTACGGTATAAAGCTTATACTGCAGTATAAAGTCAGTTCCCCAGAAGTAAGGCTGGCAGCCAGTATGCGCCAGGAGCCGGCTCCCACCTGCCACCCCACTCTTAGGGAGCCAGCTGCTGCCTCTGATACAATAGGCCAACGGAAACAAGCACTATAGTGGATAGGCATGGAGTCTCCCTGTATTCAAAGGCAACAAAAAGGTAAAACGGTAACATAGGAGGTGGCCTGCATTATCCAAGCATAAAACAATGCAATGAATAACGCTCTAAAAGCATTGCAACAAGCTCAGCACAGGAGTGGGCCTATTGACCCCCAATAGCAGAGATCTGCTGGCATGGTGGTGTGGATTGCAGGATCAGGGCCTGCACACACAGTGAGGAATCAATTAGATGTTTAGCACAGTAGTTACCTGTGGAGTTACTGGGGACTTTATAATGTAACCAGCAGTGGCTCCCCCAGTTTACCAGTAGTGCTCTCCACCCCTGTACACATCACACAGCACCCCCTCCCAGGTCCCCGCATTGGTAGCGCATGGCTCACCACCACAAATTCCACAGTGCTTGGGCAGTGGGTGTAACAGTGGCTGCTGACAAGGAGTCACTCCCGAGATGCTTTCATCACCTCGTGGGAAGCCCTAGAGCTAGGTCCTGAGGAAGGAAAGGCACCGGTTCAAACTCAAGCCCTGCAAGAACACTCTGCCAGCTCAGTGCAATTCCTGCCCTTTGCTGCGCTTCACTTGCTATGCTTTCCCTAGCCCACCCCCCTGCAGTGCTGCTACCAGCCCCAGAGGGAATCTGGGGTTCCCCAGGTCTGACCACCCTCTCCACTTCTTCCCCCCTGCACCGCCCTGCCCCCTCTCCCTGCCACAGTCC